CATACATACATACATACATACATACATACATACATACATACATACATACATACATGCATGTGTGTGTTTATGTGTGTGTGTATACTCTTGTATACTCCCCAATCCATAATATAAAAATGTATGTAGGTGTGTTTATGTTTGTGTATATTGTACATGCAGAATACTCCCCTACCTCCCCCTCCCCCCCACTCCAGCTTCTTCCTCATCACCAGTACCACCCATTAAAATTATCTAAATGCAATTAAATACCCTCTATCTTAGATGGTTGTTATATTGCATTTTAATCAATTCTGAAAGCAGTTCTGGGGCGAATGGTTTGTTTCTATTTTTTAAGGGGAAGAACAAAACACTTATTTCATAATCGTGAACGTTTTTAAATTTAAAAAACAATACTTACAAGCATCAGACATACAAAGATCTTAACGCTCTGGAGTTTTTTGGTTTTATTTCCCAAATAGATGACTTGCTGTTTTACTTGATGATTTGTTTCTCTTCTTGATGACTTGGTTTGGTCAACAAAGACAGTTTTAATGTGTTTTCTTCTTTCATCCACTCCGAAGCGCAAGAAAAATAAATATAAAAATACAGTTGAACCTGCCCTATAGACCATCAGTCAAAGACAATAATGTTTTTAAACGACCACTTTATACTCTCCTTTCGCCTTACATTTAAAAAAAAGTGTTATAGTAATATATATTTCACTGTTCAAACTTACCGCTTGTGTAAGAGGATAACTATTCTCCTTGACATTGGGTAATTGTCTTGGATTGGTTCGACTTCCTACATAACGTGACAATAATATGATAAATTGACAGAATATGTATGTGAAGCAGCTGGAATCAGGCTCTCGTCAAAATGATCAAAGTGAAGAAACTGGCATTTTTCTGCAGGTTCATAAATTTCTATCCAAATTTTGCTTTTTGGCGCAACACCTTTCATGCCCATTAAAGAACTCATTTCTGTGTGGATTTTTCTTAAAAACGTTGATTAAAGACACCAAAAATATAAATTTTTCAGTTACCACGGACTCTTAAGCTAAGGAAATAACTAATCTTTGGCAGCTAATTTTACCACTGAAAACAGGTGACCCCCACCTCCTTCATTCGCAAATATCTCGACTTGTATTCAAGATAAATGGATATTGTTTTCCTCAAAATAAAGACA